TATACTTCTTGTGATGAAGGGGGAAGTCATTTCTTTATATATTTCTTTTCTTTTTCTTTACAATATTATTTTTTCTTTTTTAACTTTAATTTTTCTTCTTTTATGCACCTTCTATTTTTTCCTTTTTCTTTTTTAGCTTGTATTAGTTTTTATTGTTGCAATTGTAATTTTTTAAATAAAACTACTATTAAAAAAAAGTTAATTTCCAAGGCCAAGCATTCACCTAACCTCCAGAAGCTTGCAGGGATTAACAAGATCAATAAATAACAGTAAGAGGATATTCTTACCTTTAATTTTTTGTTTAGTTTGCAGCAGAATCGGTACACCAGAGCCAAGTTTAAAGGTCCAAAATCTGCATAAAAACTAAAACATATATATCCACATAAAACAATGCTCAAAGTAATTTTCATAACTAATCAAGTACTTCTAAATGCAAGTATCTATTTTATTAGATAACTACATCCCCATTGAGATCTTTTTATGGAGATACAGGATAGCAGCATTACAACTAGAAATGTGACATGCTATCCATTTAATATTTTCTACTTTATATCACTGGTTCTCAACCGCAGGTCTACTAAAAGCAGAACCTTTATATGCTTTTCTACTTTGCAAAAATTGGACAAACACATGCATCTAACAATGTAATGAGGGACAATCTTTTGTAGCCAGGGACCATGCTTTAATGACTAAGGGCTGAAGAAATGGCTGGCTGGGACTGAACTAATACAACATAGTCCACATATTAGCCTAAATATTACCAGCAATAAAGATAAACCATTAGGACATTCTAATTTATGATTTTGTTACACTGCTATAAAGAGGGCATAACAACTTCATAAAATATTTGTGAGATTTGCTAAAATTTATAATAAAAATGAATTTACAGCAATAGCTTTTAACACTACAGATTTTTTTTTTATTTCTACATTTCCACTTCAAATCAGAAGTACATTTAGAATGGTATAGTACAACTATGGTTTAATAGTTTCAAGTTTCAAAGGCAAAAGAGTATAGACTGGAAAAGATAGTTCTTGTTAGATAATAAATACATCTTAGATAGTAAATACATACATTAGAAATACATTTTCTAATAAATTAATCCAGAACTTCTTATTTGTGACAGTACATACTATACGATGTACTCCAGGAGTTTGTATTTTTGAGGCCCCAGGCTCATTGAAATACCAAGAGAATGTAGTGATTTTTAATGCATCTGGCAAGTACAATATTCAAATATCTGACATAGTACATTGCCACATAATACTGAACATTTACAAAAGCAACTAAAAACATTTTCAGAAGGCAACTAAAGTCACATTTTAATGAGGGAAAACAAGCTATTTTCTATGGAAACAAATACAGGCCAGCCACAAAATATGCTGACCAAATGAAAGTGTATTGTGAATTAACCAGTGAAGTGTGACATGATCATCCAAGATCCCCTTACAAAGAACTGAGTAAGAGCTAGCATTCCTCTTGAATAATCCAATTACCAGTTCCTAACTCATTAAATAATTAGAAGGCTGACTAATTTAGCTCTGTGTCTACCAATAATGTTTTCCTATTTTATTTTCAGCCATCTTAATAAAGAAACAGTAGTCATGGGTAGGACAAAGATGCTTTATTTACAAAATATCTGCCAATTTAACATTATTTTCAACAGGCAACACTTGAATCCTACAGTTGGCCTGTTTGGCTTTTTATTTCAGTTGGCAATATATATGCTTATACTTTTTTTTTTTGGCACAACTGGTTATGGTGCTTAATTATAAAATACTTAAACAGACATTGCACACTTATGTTGAGAGTTAATAGATGGCATTTTAGTGATGGCAGTTTGAATCTATATTATCAAAACAATGCCGCTACAAGACAGATGCAATTTATTGCTACCTTAACAACAGTAGAAATTACATGTAAACAAATGAGATTTCAATAATTAAATTCTGGTCTGTGGATTTTTTTTACTTTGTTTGTAAAAAACTAGAAGATTCAAATTATCACTAAAAGTATAGCATAGAATAATAGTTGACATCCAGTCTTTGAAAATAATCTTAAGGACAAAGGATCTAACTATTTAAATACAAAATTTAATTTAAAAATTTTACCTGCATAGCAATTTCCAAGAATTTAACACAGTGATTAAAATGTCCGTAACAATAAAAATAGTATCAGCCTAGCATAATTTAGCAAAAGCAAAGTTTTAGAACTCAAATTTGCATATGCTTACATTGATGTAAATCTTGTTCCTAAATAAATGTGTATAAGATTGCAATTTTAATCTGCCTTCAAAAGGAAACAAAAAAATGATTATATGCACCTTTTTGTATAAAAGTAACAGAATGTTAGTACCTCCAATGAAAAGATTCTGATATTCATAGGAGCTAATTTAGACAGTCTATAAGACAGAATCTGTACTAAATCCCATTAGAAAATATTAGGTCTTGGTGGGGGAAATATGTACAAAACAAGATATTCCCATAAGAGAAATATAAATATATACAGTATTTAGGGCCTTGAGCTGATAGACAGTACGTATGGCTCTAGCAAAACAGCTAGTGTATGAGGAAGTCAGTCCAGACTTCAAAACAATGGTTAACTGCACTACCTAAACTTCTAGTGGTCTTCAAGATCAGCCCCCAAATGGAACATTTGCTCTATCTCCAATCCAAGAAGGGTCACTAGCAATGATCAAGTACAAAATGTCAATGATGAAATTAAAACTACAGTACATTAACAGAATAACTTTGCAGTGGAAAAGGTTGTTGTTCATGTGACAAATCTCCACAAGTGAGTCTGCTTCACTGGCTCATAGGGGATATCAGGAATTCTGGCCCAGAAACAATACCTCATAGTCCTACTGTATCCAGAACAAAAACTCAGGATGAGCCCAATATAAAAATAGACACCTACAGTATTGAATGTCAGAATAACAAATTAGCTATTTCAACTCACTTTAAGCTGATAAACTCCACATAAATCCAATAAAATCCAGAAATTGAAGATACAAGGTAATTTTATTATAATATTTATGAAACTAAGAAGAGCAAGTAGCAACTATCTTACTGAGGTGTCCACAGGGTATAGTAAAAAAAAGGCAAGATGGCAGCAGCAATGGTGGAATCATAGCTCTACCTGTGTTTTATGTTTGCAACCACCCCTTTATCAGATTTACTAAAAATGAATAAGACAATCTGGAGATGTTTCCATTGTTGAAAGGCCTCAGATACCAATATAATACAACAGTGTCATGAAGCTTTTGTGTATACAGTACTGTGCAATCAGTGAAATTGATGACTGTCCTTGAAAGGTCATGTCATAACAATTTTCAGGCATTTCAGCTTTTCATTTTTGTTGCAACAACGTACATGAACAGCCTTCTGGAAGTGATTACATACACACAGCCTGTGATATCTGAAAGCCTTCCAGGTTCACAGTGGAATGCTGGATTAGGCTAAATCTCTATTGCATTTTAATCCTGCTATGAGCAGAAGTGCAGATCAACTGTAATCTGCAATTAGATCAGCATCTCTAAAAAAAAAGGTGATTTATTCAAATCTAAATCATATACAGGATCCCATCAGGATAGAAATAAATAAATTACTTAGAAACAGTAAACAGTATAAAGTTCAATAGTATCAGCAGAAAACTGCTGTAATTTAAAATAGGAAGTTTTTTTTGCATGTGAAATACTTAAAATTTTAAAAATATTAAATCAGTAAACCTCAGCATGAAGCACAGGGATTTGTAAGCACTGAGTCTTGGAAAAGTTTATGCCATCAATTTAAACAATCATTACTAAATACCAGTGACAGAATGGCAACACTGATACCTTTAAAAAGCTGGTTTGCAGGAATAAAGTGCATATACTCTGGCAAGCTAATCTAAATTGATAAAGCTAAATAAGCCTTTATAAAGTGAAGTTACAATGGAAAATTGGGCCATTCCTCTTTCTAGTTCTCTCTCTTACACACGCAAACTGACTATTTCACAATGAACTGAAATGAAATAAAGTGAAATCTCTCAGTGTTATATATATGATATATATTTAAGAGGAACTAATAAAATGCTCCTATTTGTGGGTAACATCAAATTATTCAGCATGGTAAAATCCCACAGTGTCAGAAAAAGCCCTGAAGAACTGTTTCCTCTAAACTTGGCTGCTTGGAAGTGAAATGAAATGAAGCAAATAGAAATTTCTATTCAAACTAGTGCAATGTGATGTACATCAAGCAAAAAATAATCACAATTATAGGTGAGCACCTGATAGATCTTTCAAAACATTACTGTGTATTACACCACACAGGAAATTTAACACTGCAAAAAGCCTGAAAACATACCATAATAATCTCATACAAATTATGAAACATTGATACATAATCTTTATAATTCTGCATACAATTCTCAAGACAGATTACGGCTTGAAAATTACAGAGTATGTGAATTATTAAAATGATTGAGAAGCTGAATACCAATCCTATCCTGAACATTTGAATAAACTGGGCACCTTTCATTCATAAAACATGGTGACTAAAAAAAGTGAGCAGAGGGACATTCACAGAGGAACTAGAAAGTTTTTCCCCCCACACAGTAGAATTTGAGATTGTCTAATGCCATTGTGGATACAAAAATCTTTCTTTGAAGAAAAGAACTGAAAACAGAGGCTTCCTTTTCACAATATGTAACACTCAGAGATGACTTTAATAAAACATAATATGAATTCACTGATAACCATGACTATACCTGTTGTTTGCTCTGAAAGCTATATAAATGTGTCACCTATAACGGCAGTTTGCTACTGATTATAAAGTCCTGGGGGCAGAGAATAGATATCTAGTACTATATTTTCTTGGAGGGTTCTTAAGAATAGCTAGTTGACTAACCCCTTGAGAAAAGGCAATTGAGCACACAATTTTGTTGGTGTAACTCTTTAAGAATTTGACTATCAAATGTAATTTATTTACTTATATATTTATTATTTTTAAAATAACAGAAAAAGAAAAAAGGGAACAAAACACAGAAATACATACATTGTCAACTATCAAATGTATTGTTGAATACATGTTAATCGTACAAGATTAACTTGTCCTCTGATAAAACTGGACAGAATACCATGCCTACTTATGACAACCTCAGGAGTCTACTTTGTATGCATGCAAGCACCTAAATAGACATTGTTCTCTTGTAGTTGACAAAAAGAACCTGAAAGTAGAGGAAATAGTACGGTTATTCATAGGAAGATTTTTGCATAGGAAAAAGGAGGTGAGGGGACTGCTGCTAAGCTGGCAAAGAAGGCAAAGCTCTAAAAAACAAAAGGTCCGTTGGGAAGGGGGAACTGGAAAAGGATGGATAGGTGGTAG